AGTGTGGTCAAACTGCCATGTGCAGGGAACCAAGAACGACACACATTATTACAGAACAGTTTCTTTATTGTTGTTTGCCTATAGACAGGAATCTTGCTGGACTAAAGCACAAATCTGCCTAGCTATTAGGTATATCCAGTGAGAGTTAGTTAGGATCCATCCTGGCTCTCTCCCTGCATACCAAGGATTCCATGCTGAGCTTCATCTTTGCTCCTTGGGAAAGATTCCATGTCTCCTGCAACTCTGTCATAATTTCACCACCTTGACCTTCTTTGTTGCCTCCTCTTTTCCTACCCGTTGCCTCCCCATACGTTCATCTTGCGCCCTCCTTTCCCTTCCCTAATTTATTGTCCTCTATCATGTTTTCTACTCCTGCCGCTTCTTCTGTTTCTACCTGCTGTTCACTCTTCTCAGCTGATGCTTCCCAACCTAGCCACTGTCTTTCCAAACTTAACTCTATGAAAGCCGCACTATACTTTTTAACCAGTAGAGGGGGCAATGATACTGGAGAAGAAACAGCAGTGCCACAGTGCCCTCTAGTGATAAATAAATAAATTAACAATGATTGACTAACGCTGATGATGTTACCTAGTTTCAGTAATGAAATGTCTGCCAGAAACAAGTTCAGAGAGCACCAACGACCCCCTTGAAGAAATAAATTCCTAGTAAGAAAAAAAAGAACCGATTTTATCTGAGTATTAATTTTTAAAACTCTGGACATGAGAAATTTTTATGGCAGTCTGAACGGGCTTACTAAAAGATATTGCCCCTGTTTTGCTCGGCAGGCATGAATTAAAGTGGCATACATTGCATGTTATTATAAAGTTATAATAAAACTTTGCCTCTGTCCAGACTAGAAAAGATATGTGAAATAATGATGGTCAGTTATTCTAGCCAGCATGTGTAAGAATTACTAATAAGAAATAGTAGGTAGGTAGGTAGGTAGGTAGGTAGGTAGGTAGATGATAGATAGATAGATAGATAGATAGATAGATAGATAGATAGATAGATAGATAGATAGATAGATAGATCAGGGTCATATGACAACAGAATTTTGCAATTACCAAGCTACCCAAGCAAGATCATGTGAACGTGAGTATCTGTGGACCACCATCAATGTTCTGGAAGTGGTCATAAGTACCTTTTGGGGCTTCTGGTATAACTTTGAACGCTCACTAAGCAAGCAGTCATTAAGTGAAGACAGGCTTCATTAAGTTCAGAAGTTCTTTTGAGTCATCCTGATGTGTCTAAAGGAAACAGTTTGGATTTGCATACATAAGAACATTGCTTTCACAATAAGAGGGTTGCAGGGTAGAAATGGGTATTTTTAATAAAGCCATTTTAAAAGCAGTCGGAGTTTTTAAAAGGAATATGGTGAGTGGTAAGTTGCTTCCCACTGTTGCTTGCATTTTAACAAAAAAAAAATATTGTTTGGAATAATAATCTTTTCCCGCGGCGGTTCAATTTAATTTTAATAACATTAGCTGGAGGAGGGTGTTAACTCTGATACATTTATGACCGTTGTGATCTCAGATGCAAGAGTTTTGTCTTCCCTCCTCTTTTGAAAATCCCCTCTCCAGGAAAAAGGTTTTTTTTTTCAAAATAAAACTTTTAAGAGAGGAATGTAAATCTTCCCTCCCTAATGGCGAATGTTTGTGGCAGTGGCGGGATTCAATTTTTTTTTTACTACCGGTTCTGTGGGTCTGGCTTGGTGGGCATGGTGTGGATTGGTGGGCATGGTGGCAGGGGAAGGATACTGCACAATCCCCATTTCCTCCCCACCCCAGTAACCTGCTTTCCAGCTCCGTTCTCCTCTGCAGGGCAACCAAAGAAGACCCAGCTGATCAGGTCAGAGGTGGGATTTGCTGGTTCTTCGAACTACTCAAAATTTCCACTATCAGTTCTATAGAACTGGTCAGAACCGGCTGAATACCACCTCTGGGGCTGTGGGCTTGACAAACTCTGGCTAATTTCAGCTATACTTGGGGAAACCTGCTAACTTGAAAAAATGACTTATGGGGTGGCTGGTTGCCCCTGATCAGAATTCAGGTTAAGGACATGGTAGTGTTTGTCTAACAACTGTGATTAATGCCAAAATTATTCAGATTTGGTGAGCAAACACCTAGATAGATAGATAGATAGATAGATAGATAGATAGATAGATAGATAGATAGATAGATAGATAGATAGAT